TAAGGTCCGAATGAATCAAAGGAAAGCTTGATTTCTTCCTCCACTTCACAGAGGGAGAAGATACACCCAGAAATGGACCTGCCAGAGATCCCCAAGGATGGACCAAGGAGCACATCCAGGACTCCTGTTCCTTCCACCACCTGACTCAGAGACCTGCATCTCTCTGGAGAAAACCACCTCGGGTGGGACAACATTTTTGGGTTGGAATTACAGGATCTTTAAGGTCCCTTCCAACCCAAAGCACTCCCTGTGAACACCAGGGGACAGTTAATCCTTTCTCAGCAGCCAAGTAAAACACTGTGGCAGATCTTTGCCTAATATGTTCTCAAAACCTCCCAGTGATGGACACTCAGAACCCCTCTAGGCAGGATTTATTTGCCCTCAGGGATGCAAAGCTTGAGACTGAGCAGCTCCCCCTTTGCCAGGCTCACAGGTCCTGTTTTCCAGCCTGGTTCTCCCTCTCACTGCTCTCTCCTGAACTTTGATTAGTCCCGAACTTGTCCATTGGGCACACACAACTCCAGTCTTGGCAGAGCTAAACACAGGGATTGCTTCCCAAAACTTCAGTGTGACATCATGAGAAATAAAACCACAATTTTTTATGGTGAAGTTGTAAGATATCCAAGTTCAAAAGTCCTGGAGTTGAGTGTCAGGGTCTTTTTCAGCTGGATAAGGGAAATGCAGGAGTTCTTAAAATCTTTTGGGGTCATTTTTGTACAAAAGGGATTCTTCTCTCTCTTTGGGCTAAGAACATCATCCTTGACAGGGGACACCTCACAGCCAATCAGAATAAAAGGAGAGCCCCTTTTCAGAGAAAAGAAACCTTTTTAGGCAAAAATGAGTATATTGAGCTCATCTGAAAAAGGTGGGATTTTGCAGAACTATAAAATGCCTAAAATTTAAACCCAAGGGGGTCTTTTCTCCCCAAAAACTTGGGGTGAGACCAGACTCAGTGCGCTGAATAAATCCTTTCTTTTTGTTTCATGAGTTTTTGCCTTCTTTCTAAATTTGAGAGAGAAATTTTTCTCACATTGCTTTCTCCTGAACTTTGATTAGTCCAAAACTTGTACATTGGACACACACAACTCCAGCCAAACACAGGGATTGCTTCCCAAAACTTTGGTGTGACATCACTCCTGTCCTTCTCCACCTGATGATGCTCTGGGTGTGTTCAGTGACCCTTCTGGCTCTCAGTGGCCTCCAGGTGTACAAGCTCTTCACTGCAACACTTCAATTTTTCCCCTGAGGATTTTAGGGAAAGAAACCTCCTGTCTGTCTCTTCCTTCTTGCTTCCTCCATTCCAGAAAATGTCCCCTAGCAAGGGTATTACTCACAGATGAGCTGACACCTCCAGTACAATGCTAATGACTGAGGTCATGAATATAAATTTATTTTCCAGGGAGCATTTAAGAGCTTGGAACAAGCCACAGGTCCAGCAAGGTCATAGGTAGGAGCAGAAACAAAACCCAGGGTGGGGCTCAGCTCCCTCCCCTCCCATGACTCATTTGGACTCATCTTCCAATGGATCGATGGAAATAGAGTTGCCTCATCCTAAGATAAGCATCTAAAATAAACCTGCTGAATCACGGGCTTTAAGGGGCTTTGGCAGCTCAAGATTTCCTTTGTTATTTAGGGTTTACTCTCTTTGTCCCTCGGGGGGAAGGAGGTGCAGCCCTTTGGATACCTCACAACCCCAAACCTCCAACCAGCCTTCAAGAACAAACCTTTTTAACACCTCCTGCAGCTGTGCCACAGCACAGGTGCCTCAGGTGCCAAGAAAACCGTGGAGAAACAACCCCTGAGCATTTAAAAACCGCCTCATTTTTGCAGTTTGCCACTTCCTCAAAATCAGTTTGAATTCCCTGCTCTTTTTTTTTTTGCCCCCTTATCTCGGGGTTTCCCCTCGTGGATCTTTTCCTCTCCAGCAGGGAGATGGGAATGCAGCTGGAGCTGCCACAACTTTCAAGCTCTGAGTTAGTGCCCAGGAGGAGGAGGAGGAGGAGGTGGAGAGTCCGTCACACAAGAACAGGCACATGGTTCATCTGCTTCCCAGTGACTTTCCTTTGGCTGTGAAACCCCACTTTGTGTTCAGCTCCACTTCAGGACATTATTTTTCTATTCATCAGTTCACCATCAGGGACTTGGGCCACTTCTTTTTTACTTCAAAAACGCAGTTAAGAGCCACGTGAAAAATCAGCATCCCCTCAACAGCACATTCTGCTCGAGCCACTTCATCCTTAAACCCCCCTCTCCAGTGCTTTGTCCTACCATGCAAAATCCATGGTCAGGGGGTCTGTCTTTGTTATTTCCTCCATGTTCCATTTATTTGGCAGGACATTCTCTTTTTATAACCCAAGAATATTTATTTATTTATTTATATGTATGTATGTATGTGTATATACATATTTTATATATATAAATATTTGCATATATATATATATATATATATAAGAATATAACAAGAATTACTTGCTAGCACATAAACAGGAGGTTATAATCTGCCTTTCACTTTCTGGTCTCTGCAGGAACTGGCAGTTTTTAATGGGAAAAAAAAAAAAGAATATTTAAAGCCTCACTTGTCGTCAGATTGGAGTGCTCCTTCTTTCTGGGCAATACGGGACTGGCAGGGAATTACGGTAATGGCAAGGACACTGCCTGCTACATCAGCAGAGCAGTAAAGTTCCTGCTGCTCCTTCCCAGTGTGGAGCTGAGCTCTGAACTGGGCAGGGATCCTTCCAGGGAGCCTGGAGTGAAGCCCCCCAAGAGCCCTGGATGGAGGGAATCAGCACAACTGAGCTGCCAAAACACCAGTGGGGGAATAAAGGGAGAGAAGCAGCGGATTTCCAGGCACAGAGTCCCATCCCTGCATGAAGAGAGGAGCCTGCTGTGCTGACAATCTGCTGCCCAGATGCTCAGAGGAGCTGTGCTGCCTTCTAGAGACTCCAGAGGTGAGTGTGGGGCAGGCACAGGAGCCTGGGGTCTGCCCTTCCCAGCAACATCCCTCCCCACGGGCTGAGAATTATTTGGGTTTGAGCATGAAAACCTCTGTCAGTCCTTTGTGCTGCATCTCCTTGACTTGCTGGCAAGTTTTTCCTCCTGTGCTTAAATTCAAGTCGATAATTTCTTAATTTTCTAGGCCACTATCAACCTTATAACGAGCACAGTTTCAACCCTGTAATGAGCAGTTGTGATGGTTGGAGATGCTCGATGTTACAGCCACTTCCCATTGATGTGCTCAGTAAAATCTCTCCTTTCCTTCCTTGGAATTATTCCTCCACTTGTTCTATCTGGTGGGAAAGAAAATAAAAGGTCCAATTTCATTTCACTTCCCTAAAGGCAAATTCCCACAGTGCAATACCTCCCCATCTTCCCATCCCCCCACCCTCCCTGCCTGGGAACTGGGAATTTCCAGGGGCTTCAGAGCTTTAAAAGCCTTTTTTGCCCGCAGGAAAGTTCAGCTTGGAGGCTCCCAAACGTGACAGTTGTTGCTGCTCCGTGTTTGTGCCAAGTGTGGTCTGAGGGACTCATCCCAAAAACCCCAATATCGGGACACTCCGAGAGCCTTCCCTCCTCCTGGATGTGACAGGGGTGGGTTTTCACACCTGATTAATATTTGGGATGGGAATATTGTGGGAGGCTTTGCAGCCCACACTTGTAGCTCTCCCTCCATGTCCCCCATGTCCCCATTCCCAGGCTTATCCTCACTTTTCCATCTGAGGTACCTTTTCTCCATATTTAGTCAGCTAAGGCTGAGCTTGGCTTCCAGACCCTCTGAAATGTTGTGTCACTCACCAGGAAACTTGTTGCTTGCAACATCTTCTGCTTGGCAGGACCTGCTTTTTTCCCCCTATAGAATTTTCAACCTGGGCAGCTCAGCTGGACTAACAAGTTCAGGGGGTAAAGGAATGGCTTAACAAAGAAATCCCAGACTAAATTCTGGACTTCTAAATCTAAATCTGTAGTCCTGGATCGTGTCCTGCAGGTTTCTCTCCCTCCCAGAACTGGTCTCTGCAGGGGAACTGATAATTAGGATTGATGCCTATCCCTATAAAGGAAGGAAAATTCAGGCAAGAAAACCCACCTGGAGTTTTGAGTTGCTGTTAAACAATACCGGGCTGGAAAAGGTTGGTTCCACTGGCTGAGCCAGCCTGAGGAAGGCTCCCTAAAATAGCCTCCTGCTCTATTCTTATATGGGAACCACAGCAGCGAGGGCAGCTTCTGGGAATCACATTGTCCCTGGTTTTGTCTTCTCCAGGGGGTGAAGATCTGCAAAGAGCACCAGAGAACACGGCAAACTTCACTCTTCCCTGCAGAGCAAGCCAGAAGCTGCTGTAAATGAACTTTAATTCACAGCCCAGGACCTCAGGTGACAACTGCTCCACACACAGAGAAGCTCTGAGGGACAGCCCAGACCCCGAGGATGGGTAGGGACAGAGATCCCAAGTGGAACTGCTGAGCAGACACAGCACCAATCTCCACCCAGGCAGGTTTCTGAGCCAATTTTAAGGCAGAATCAGGATTAACACAAGGCAATTAAAAGCATCAGTGATTTCCTCTCGGAAGAAACTTAAATTTGAGACCCTCTGGAATATTTTTGTTATTGAGATATTGAAGACAGAAATGATTTTAACCGGCAGCTCCAAGATTTCTCATCACATAATCCTGGAAAGGAGGATGAAGAGCCTCAGTCCTGTGTAGCCTCACTTGTGCACCCCAAGAAAAATGCAAAAGGAGTTCAATTTGACTTGGCAATGGTGGTTATTAACTGTGCTATGCTGCTGAAAACTTAGGGGCAAAGGTAGGTTTTCTAACATGTTCCTGGATCTTTCTCATTGTTCCTGGTGCTGCACTTCTGAGACGTTCTTACAGCCTCTTTTTCCCAGGAAAACCAGGCAGATGTTGCCTGTAGGAGCCTCTGAGGACTGATCTGCCCCCTGTTTCTGCCTGGCAGGGGGTGCAGCAGCCCAGCAGCCTCGCATGGACACTCTCAGCCACTCACCATGACTTTCCTGCCCGCAAACTCCTCCAACTGCTCCAACTGCACCCACTCCGTGGAGCCCGTGAACATTTCCAAGGCCATTCTGCTGGGGGTTATTCTGGGGGGGCTGATTGTTTTCGGGGTGTTGGGCAATATCCTGGTTATCCTCTCCGTGGCCTGCCACAGGCACCTCCAGAGCGTCACCCACTACTACATCATCAACCTGGCCGTGGCCGACCTCCTCCTGACTTCCACCGTCCTGCCCTTCTCGGCCACCATGGAGATTTTGGGCTACTGGGCCTTCGGGAGGATCTTCTGCAACGTCTGGGCGGCCGTGGACGTGCTGTGCTGCACGGCCTCCATCATGAGCCTCTGCATCATCTCCATCGACCGCTACATCGGGGTCAGCTACCCCCTGAGGTACCCCAGCATCGTGACGGAGAGGAGGGGCCTGCTGGCCCTGCTCTGTGTCTGGGCTCTGTCCCTGGTCATCTCCATCGGGCCCCTCTTCGGCTGGAAGGAGCCGGCCCCCGAGGACGAGACCATCTGCCAGATCACCGAGGAGCCCGGCTACGTGCTCTTCTCGGCCCTGGGCTCCTTCTACCTGCCCCTGGCCATCATCCTGGTGATGTACTGCCGGGTCTACGTGGTGGCCAAGAGGGAGAACAAAGGCCTGACCTCGGGGCTGAAGACGGAGAAGTCCCACTCCGAGGAGGTGACCCTGCGCATCCACCGCAAGAACGCGCCCGGCGCCGGCGGCCCCGCGCCCAACCCCAAGAGCAAACACCACTTCTCCGTCAGGCTCCTCAAGTTCTCCCGGGAGAAGAAGGCTGCCAAGACCCTGGGGATTGTCGTGGGGTGCTTCGTGCTCTGCTGGCTCCCGTTTTTCGTGGTGATGCCTCTGGGTGAGTAAAGCGAAGCCCCCTCTTATCTCCCGCGGCGCCTTCCCCGAGGGAGGGCTGGGCCCGGGCCCAGGGGTGATAAGGCTGAGCAGAAAAGCTCTGAGGGAACAATTTCCCATTGCAAAGCTGTCAAAAAACCCCCCCAAATCATTCCCCACCACAGAGCAGTGAGTGGAAAACAGCAAAAAGCCTCAAGCGAAACAAAACGTCGCCGGCGATGGGAAGCAAAATTCTGAAAATTAGGGAAAGGATTTAATGCTCTTCCCATACAGAAAATGCTCTTTTCGAACCAGGACAGGTATTTCTGACCAGCTGTGCGTTAGGAACAGTATTATTAGTGGGCTGTGTGTTTATATCTATGTTTACAGCCAGTTCTTCGGGTGACTTCAAGATGTAAAAGGTCAAGATAGAAATGAATTCAGGGTCAGGTCAAAGTAGCTGCTCACAGACTTGGGGCCAGATCTGGAGTGCTCAGCACTGATAATTCCCACTGTGAGGAAAATAATCAGCTTTCTCCCAGGAAAATCACACTGTGAGATCCCATAGTCCAGATGAAATGAGTGGTTTTTTCCTATTTATCACCTGCCCAGTCAGGAGGCAGCAGTGAGGATCCTTCCAGCTCGTTTTACACTTCCCTGGTTTGCATCTCTTCTGGAAACCCACTGGCCAAACCCTGGCTCAACCATCCCTCTGAATCTGAATATTTATTCACCACTTGTCATCCTAAAGGGGAGCAAAGCTGGGGATTTGTTCTGCTTTGCTGGAATGTAAGGAAGTAATTAGAATTTTAATTAAACCTTGCTCGGTTACCTTTGATGCAGTTTCAGGATTTCAAAGCAGAATACTAATTTCACACCTATAACTGAGGGTGATGTCCAGGGCTCATCCCACTGAGCTTGGCTCTGCCACAGCTCCACTAAATATTGGGTTGGAAACGTGGAATTGAAAATCTGACTTGCTCCATTTCAAGAGTTTTCTTATGGAAAAGGCTTCAGCTGTGCAGGGAAAATAAAGCCTGATTGTATGGAAGCTTTAGCTGGAAACAGAACAATGTGGACAGTTAAGAAAAATACCTAAATATAAAAGGGATTTTAATTTCCCAGGGTTTTTGTCCTCCTCTGTTTTTTCAACCCTATAAATAATTATTCTTTTTCGTTTCCCTGGTTTTACCAGGTGTGAAAAAACACCCAAAAAATTAGATTTTTTTAATTTTTTTGGTTCTCTTGGTCAATCCTGGGAAGTGCTGGAGTAAGAGCTGGAGATGTTTCCTAAGGAGGAGCCCTGCAAGGCCTGGCTCGTGCTGTCCAGGATGTCAGCACGTTGGAATGCTGGTTGCCAAGATGACTGAAACATACCCAAAAAGGGTTTGCTAGAACACATTAAACACACTTTTCGTTCTGCAAATGGGGTTGCCCACACAGAGCCTGCTGTTAATTAATTTGCTTTGGGTTTAAGGAGTTTCCTGGGCTCAAGAGTGACTTTGCATCTTGCTTTTGATCCCTTGTAAGGAAACTGGTGCTTCGTTTCCCTGTCCTTGTGGGGTTGCTGGGTTATTTTTAAAGCATATAATAGGGCTTTCAAAACCTATTTGCTGCCTTTAAAGACAAAAAAAAAAATAAAAATTGAACAGGCAAGTGGCACTAAAAAAAAAAGAAGAGAACAGTTTCCAAAAGACAAGAAGCACCTTCAGCTCTGACCTGCACACGGGTGAAGGTGGGCAGAGGGAGGCAAAGGGATCCAGGCAGGATTCCAGAGCAGGGATCAGGCTTTCCAGAGGTACAAAATACTCCTGGTTGAGCCCCTGGGAAGTTGCAGAGCTCCCAACGTGCCCAGCTGGGCAAGAGGAGCCTTTGGAGAGCAGCTCTGGGGGTTTGTGGCCATGGGCCAGGCCTGGGAATGGTCCCACCAACCAGCTCTGCAGGGGTTTGAGGGTGCAGAGGTGGCACTCAGGGACAGGGTTTAGTGGTGGCCTTGGCAGTGGGAGGCTTAATGGCTGCGCTCCATGATCCAAGAGGTGTTTTCCAACCCAAATGACCATGATGGAGTTCTGTGACTCCATCAGCCAGACCACTCTCAGTGTGGGCTGCCCATGAGACAGACACAACCTGAACGACCCTAATTCCAGGATTCCAGCAGCCAAACCACTCCCAGTGCCCCTGGGACAGAGAGTCTTAAACTGCTACACAAACCTCTAGAGAAAGCTGGCAGGTGTTGATCATTCTGTGCAGCACAACTGCCCCAAACCTGAGTTGATTCACTGTGAGCTGCAGCAGCTTCAGCATCTCCACATCCCTCAACACCAACTCCACCAGCCAAGACCCCAAGAAACACCAGGTTTGCTGAAGTTACACCAAAGTGGGGTAGACAGTTTTGACATGTAGGTGTGGGAAAGGCAAGAGAAAATATCAGGAACAGCACAATATCCATATTGGCAGATACTGGAGAAACAATTCCTATATCCCCCTGCCCCAAGACAAGATCTGAACTGAAGTTGGTGTGTAAAGATGCTTCCTTCCCTCCTTGGATGGGGTTTTATTCCAGACAAAGGGTCTGTGCAAAGGCTTTCAGCCCAAGAGCCCAAAACACCTTCTTCTCACTTGGCTTGGTGTTTGTGGAATAAGCCAAGGAATGATAATCCTGCTGCATGGAAATGAGGGAGGCTAAGGGTTGGTTTTTTCTCTGCATTGCTGGAGCATAAATTCACCCCTCACTAAACTCCTGTGATAAACAAGGCTGTCAAAACAGCTGATTGCTCCCTGAAGAAGTCGGATTTTAATTCCTCACGCAGAAGCAGGCAGAGGTGGCATCACTGACAGGTCCAGTAATCACCAGACAAACACAAACCAGCAAAACAGAGCCAGGAGGGAGCAAGTTTGAGCTTGTCTGCATCCCTCAAACAGGGCTCAAAAGAGGAGCCTGAGTTCATCTGCAGCTCCTGGGCCAGGGGGTTTGTGGGGAGAGGCTCAGACCGGGCTCATCTGGCACTGCCAACAACCTGCAACACAGAATGCTCCTTCCATTCCTGCTTTTGGTTCTCTTGGATTGCTAGAAAGGGATGGAGACAGATGGAAATGCAAAGACTCAGGGCTAGAAGAGTCCAGAAATCAGTGGATGCCCCCAGGGATGGTTTTAAGTGATGTTTGGGTTCCAAGTGACAGAACAGACCTTGTGCTGGGGCTGGAAGACACTGGAGTGGGAATTTTTCAAAAGGTTTCTTTTCATCAACGTAGAAGACAGTGCTTGGAGGTTGTTTTGAGGTGCTTGGAAGGTATTCTGAGGTGCCTGGAGGGTGTTCTGAGGTGCTTGGAGATTGTTCTGGGGCACTTGGAAGGTGCTCTGAGGTGCTTGGAGGTTGTTCTGAGGTGCTTGGAGGGTGTTCTGAGGTGCTTGGAGATTGTTCTGAGGTGCTTGGAAGGTGCTCTGAGGTGCTTGGAGGTTGTTCTGAGGTGCCTGGAGGGTGTTCTGAGGTGCTTGGAGGTTGTTCTGAGGTGGAACCCGCAGAGAACTGATGGGAAAAAAGGAAACAAGAGTTGGGGTATTGCAAAAAATGGTCCTAAGCTGGGATTGATGGTTTATCCTCAGAAGAGAACAAGCTCAGAGAGCTCAGCTCATGGTCCATTTTCTGTGCCAAACTGGCTTGACTCTGGTTGTAGATGTTGCTTTCAGAAGCAGAAGGAAGGAAAAAGGGAAAGGCTGAGCCAAGATATCACAGAGGGAAAAAAATCAGACAAACTGGGCAAGGGAGAGGAAGGTTTTTAGCATTTGTCAATCATCCTCCTGATGAAGAGAGAAGAAAAGAGGATCCACTGGAGGGTATTTGTGTTTGTAATAAAGCAGTAAATTAGTCTTGTGAACTGACACAACCACTGTCAAGGGAATCCTCTAATCCTGTCCACGGGCCTGTCTGCAGCTGGTGTCTAATTACTGTTTTGTGGTAGTTTTTTAACTGAGGGCAGAAAGAACGAAACACAAAGCAGAAAAACAAACTGCATTTTTCTGTCTCTGCCGCCGACACGACGCGACCCCTCGGGAGGTCTCGGGGCAGAAACACAGCCCAGCACAGATCCCCCAAATGAGCATCTCAGCTCTCTCTCAGCAACAAAGAGAAAAAAAAAGAAATAAAAAAATAAGGATTAAAGGCCCAGCTCATCCTCAGCTCAGGGAGAGGAAGGATGTTTACAGTCCTCAAGCCACTGAGCACAAATGTGTGTGTGAAGCCACTGATCAGGGAGAACTTCAGCAGATAAACAGCCAAGAGATTTCCATGGGGCGTTTTTTCCAAGTTTTTTGGGTTTGTTGTTGGTTTATTTTTTAACCCAAGGGGCGTTTTTCACAATCCCAGGCTGGAAAGGCTTTGTTGGCTCGGGTTGGTAACTCAGCCACGCCGAAGGTCTCGCTGACATCCCTGTGGCCAACATCCCTCCAGCACTCCCAAACCCCGGGGTGTTGGGTGCCACTGCCTCACCACACAGCAAAGCACGGCAGGAACTGATATTAATTGATAATAATAACCATTTACAGAGCGGGGAGGAGGAGTTCTCTGCTCCATGAGTCACTCCCATGGCTCCCCACACGTGTTCCCTGTCAGAGACTCATCCTTGTCTCAGTGCTCCTCTTTGCGCAGTCGCCGCTCCCAAATCCTCCGAGTAAACGAAGCAAAAATGTCATTTCTTGCTCTCCCCCCAAATGTCAGGGCTCGATTTCGGGTTTGGTGCTGATGGAAAGGCCACCATGAGTGATTATTACGAGTGATTCTCCCGCCCCACCCAGCGAAGGGCAGGATTTGTGTGAGGTTTGGAGAGAGGGAGAGACACGAGAGGATAATTCCTGTATTTTCAACCCCAAGGATTCCAAAATCACGACTGACAAGCACATGACACAGTGTCAGTTTTTCAAACCCTTCTCTGGTTTGTTTTTTTTTTTTTTTTATAAATTTTTAAAGGCAAACTAATGATTTGTTGTCGGTGAATGACTTCAAGAGCGACGGCTTTGGGACAAATCTC